GTTAGGGTTGGATATCAACATGCCTATTGTGGTTTTGTCTCCCCTCTTCTGCTAAGCTGAGCCATCAGAGCTGCAGTTTAGTAACCAGTCTGGATCCCCAACAGATGACGGTTTTACAGGGCAGGAATCAGACTGCTAGGGCTCTAGTTTTCTTTAGCAACACATAAAAGAAGGCATCATTTCAAGAAGCTTTGGCTAACAGGGGGAACGAACACAGCGAACTCTCCCAGTGCAGAAGACAGTGATGGCTCCGGGCTGGAAAAGCCAAGTTTGCTTTGAGCTGGTAGAAAAAGAAATATATATAAAATAGAGGCTGGCTTCTTTATTAAAAAATAGTTTCTTAAATCCCAGCCTGGCAAAATCCAGCACTGGGACTGATAGTGTGAGGTGTCCATGGCCCTGGTAGGAGTATTGGAACTTGATCTTAGGACCCTTTCCAATCCAGACCATTCTCTGATTCTATGTTGTGGTTTGGGAAAGGGTTTTGTGGCATGGGAATACTTTGAGAGAAAACCCTGTGCTGTTTTAAAAGCCTCAGGTAATAAGTATAGGGGGAACAGCAGCAGTGTTTCTCTGGGGATAACCTTTACATCCGCTGTGGTGAGCTGGGATTTGTGAATCTCTCCAAACTGAATGCTTTCAAGGCCAAAAAGGCAATGAAAATCTCACACAAGGTTTAGATACAGTATGCTGCACGGGCGCTCATTTATAGCTGTTAACGTGACCTGCTGATTCCTCATCTTTATCAATAAACACCAGCAGAAGATACTAAACCCATCTGAATTGTGTCAAGGGGGTTATCAGAGGACAGACAGTAGTTCCTTTAGCCAGAACAGTGAAGGTCTTGGGGTTAAAAGCCAAGGGTCAGCACCACCACTGCCTCATGTGGCATGGATTGAATCAAAAATTATCTCTGAATGGCATTACTGCAAACTGGCCAAGAACATCCATCTGAAAACTCAGCCACCTTGAGCATAAATCACCTTGCCTGGAGGCTTGGTTGGGGTCCAGGGGCTCACTTTCCTTTTCCAGCACTGCTCCTCAGTTACTTATGTTGTAAATCCATTATAGAAAATACAAGTGAAATTCACCTATTTATTTATTTATTTCTCTTTTCTGGACTGAGGTTTTCAGGGACTTCTCTAACTGCAGCTGGTTGCAAGGCTTTAAAAACCCAGAAACCTCTTACTCAGGTCCATGAAAAGCAATTTCAGCCTCTGCCATCCCTAGCCATATTGCTGATCACTCTCAAACCCACAGCTCTTCCTTTTCAATCAATGGAACACACAAGCCTACGTTTTATTTAACCTATTTCTCCAGGCCTGATTTTCTTTTAGTTTTAAATTATGGATAGAAGCAAATTCTTCAGGCCATTTTTGACTCTCTAAACTCCCCCTTGCGCCTGTTTTAACTTTTAAATCTGGTAATCCATTCTGGTAATCCATTCTGTTTTAACTGGTAATCCATTCTGGCTGAGAATGAATTTCATTTAACTTCCAGCTAAATTACTGACACTGAAGGATCAAGCTCAAGCAAAATACATCAGATCCCGTATAATTTTGGTCTCTGCTTCCAAGAAACAAGCTGGGTTTAAATTTGTTTTCAGTCAACTGCAACGAGCAGGAATAAAAAGTACGAGCGACTGTGGGAAGAAAACTTTTTAATGCTATTTCCAAAAAGCTCCAGCTGGTGGCAGCAGCAATTTCTTTTTCCACCAAAAGTAAACCAGGAAACTAAAAAGGGGAAAAAAAAAAATAAATAAAATCCTTAGAAATAATTCCTACAAGCAATGCCCTGGAAATCTCAGGTGTGTTGCTCAAAAATGAAATAAAAATTATTTATGGCTTCCTTAAAATGGGGGCATTTAAGCTAACAGCAGATAGACCTGATGACAGAGTGCACTGGGATGGATGTGTCTGTGGAGAGGAGGTGTGCTGAAAGGGCACTTGAAAGCTTCCTTGGAGCTATCAGGTGCCATTAGGGATGTAATGACCCCCAAGGGAACCTGATTTCTACAGCAACTCACATCTTCCCAGCTCTCCCTCCCTTCTAGTACCCTAAAACCTTTCTGTTTTAGAAAAAGACCTATATTTTTCCCAGGATAACATAAGACATAGAGAATTGCAAGCCCATGCTGATGGACTGTCAAGATGCCAGCTCCACGGGGGGGGGGGGGAGAGGGCATTTCCCAACAAGGATGCTTCAACGCGTGCACCAGCATCCCAGGGTAAGCCTTGCTCTGCCAAAAGCTTGGAGGTTATTGAGTGTGGTCTCTGGGTACATGCTTTGCTTCCCACCTGGATATCCTTAAAGATTTTGGGGTTCTCTTTTAGTTTCCTGTTTAGGCTGCGTTGACAACGGCACTGATTTGCTAACACCTAACTCCCAAAGAAATCACTGCTGCCTTTCTGCACTTCTGCAGCGTGCAGCTTAGCTCCTTTTAGGCTGAAAAGCCTCTCTGGGGAGGACGATGTCTTTTTGCCCTTTTTGGTGAATTTTGCAAATGGCCCTGAGCAAACAGTAATGGGTTATGTAATTGAAATGGTATTGTTGTGGGGAGCGTGCAATCCCGCCTCGCAATCCTCACCAAACCATACAGCTCAACGCGCTCATGATTCATGTGCTGGTAGCAGAGACCAGCTTCCTCCCAGGCTATTGGCTGCGGCTGATGAAGACATGTGCCCTGTGAACCCTTTTGGACGTGGCAGACCTCCAGAAAGGCCAAAGGCATGGAATAAAATGACGTACAAAGGACCCAGAGAGGGAGCAGTGCCATGGCTAGTGAGACCCGGCAAAGGGAGGGAGTGCAGGAGAAAGGAGGATTCACTGGAGGCTGGCTGCACGCCAAAGCAGAAGGTTGGCTATCCCCTCTGAAATCATCTCTGTTTATGAGAGCGCCTTTGGATGTACTTGATATCTGTGTAAATATCCCACCTCTGTTCTTGGCTGCAGCTGGGGGGGTACTCACCGAGTTTCCAAAGGCATGACAGCCTTGACGGAACCACTGATGCTCCTCGCCGTTGGAGGATGAGGCCCAGGGTGGCTGAGATGGACAGCTGATGAAATCCTCCACTGCAGCGCAGGAGCGTGGCAGTGTCCACGAGGGGTGGAAGTGATGGGGGTTAATGAAAACAATCAGGTATTTTAGTAGCGTGAGGGAAACCCGCAAATGTCAGACTGGTGCTGAAAGGTTTGGAGCTGTTGTCCTCCTTCGTAAATCAGAGCATCGCCTCTGAGTGTAGGCCAGCTCTGAAAGAAAGGAGCATCATAGGCAGAATATTCAAACCATTTCCCCCCCTTCCTTTTCCTTATTCCAGGTGTTTCTCAAAAGTTGTGCCTTCCTCTAAACCCTCTTGTTCTCCATAGCATAGAATCATGGAATGGTTATGTTAGGAAAGGACCTTAAGTTCATCCAGTTCCAACCCCCTGCCATGGGCAGGGATGTCTCACACTAGACCCTGTCACCCAAGTCCTGTCCAGCCTGGCCTTGAATACTGCCAGGGGTGGAGCTTCTTTGGGCACCCTGTGCCAATGCCTCACCACCTTCACAGTAAAGAACTTCTTTTTTATAAGTAACCTGAACTTCTCTTGTTTTAGTTTGAATCCATTACCCACCATCCCTTTTGCAGGATATCTTGGCCTCTGCAGTCACCTTCCAGAAGCTTTGGTGTCCGGAGGCTTAGGGGGGAGAACTACACTTTTCCATTGCCCATTTTTCACTCTAAGTTGCAAGACTGACCCAAAAGAAAAAATAAAACTCCCACAACTCTCATATAAAGCAAATCTGCCTCCTCTTAAAGCTTCCAAATTCAAATTAAAACTTCAAAATTAAAAATTTAATTCAAAAATTAAAGCTTCAAAATGGAAGGACCATTCCTGAATGGAAAGCAGCCGTGTCTGATTCATCAAGCCTCTAATGATAATGGTTTGTCAGTGCCAGCCTGGGGAGGACATCCAGTCTTGGGCAAGAGGTAATATCTTGGTCCCTGGGAACTTGCTTTGTCCATGCTCTGCCTTGGGTTCTTAAGAGCATCTCTGAAAGGGGTCTGTGGGGCTTGTGAGGAGTCATTGGGATGCTGGACTCTTTCAGATGCATGACAAAAAGATGAGCAGGTTTGCTGCTGGCCTAGGGCAGCTTGAAGAGGGATTATAAAGACGGTGGAGCCAAGCCCTTCTTAGAAATAGCAGAATAACAAAGGACAGTGGCCACTGCTTCAGGATGGGCTTTAGAAATAAATTCTTCACTGGGAGGATGATGTAGTCTTGGATCAGAGTCTTGAGAGGTCAAGAAAGCCCTGTCCTCAGTGGTGGACATAGAATCATGGAATAGTGAGGGTTGGAAAGGACCTTAAGATCATCTAGTTCTGACCCCCTGATATGACCTCATTCAGGTGACAGTTTGACTTTGAATTAGAGACCCCCAGAGAGTCCTTCCAAGCAACATCTCTGAGTCTATAACTCCTTCAAACCAATAGTCTCTCTTCCTTGTTTCCTCTGCCTCACCTGTTAACATCTCAGCCTCTTTGGCAGGATATTTCCATGTGATGGAATTATGGTACTACCACAACAGAGTGTTGTTCTCAGCCTCCAGTTACACCTACACAACTAAATAATATGTCTTCCTGTGCAGCCAGGCTGTCTGGGAAGGACTTATTCTTGGTGGGTTTACTCTGATGTTTGATTCCTTTGGGGAATACCTCTGTGGAAAATGAACATTGCTTTATCATTGGCCCTGTTTACCTCCCAGAGGAGAATGGGGGGAATTTTGGAGCTCTCTTAACATGCAGTCACAATCACGGCTCCTGTGATTGAGTCGTTTCTCTCTAAGTAAGTAAATTAACTCTAATACCCTTATTTGCTATCAACGTTATAAAACATAATAAAAGCCAGATGTCTCTTCCTTAACCTGATGTACTATGGAAGTTCTATGGATTATTTTTTCCAGACTCTATGAAAGTGATTTTGCACTCTCTTTGTTTCATTTGGTGAATTCATTGCAGAACCTGATGAGAAGACATTTGGAAGTGTATTAAAATGGAAAAACCTGGTGTCATACGGAAACAGGTCTCAGTAGGAGGAGAATCAGCCTCTCCATTTCTCTCCATGTCTCGTTCTGTGCTGTGAGCTAGAGGCTTTGAAGCAGAGAAGGTTTCTTTGGACCCAAGGGGATGGCAATGATTGAGTGGTTTCAGTTCAAAAGAGTGCAGAAGGATTCTCCAAAGCTGCTAAATAAGAGCCCTCATCCCCAGGAACCTCCTAACCAGCCTGTCTCTTCCAGTTTCCCTGGCTGCATTGGAGAAGTAGTTATCCAGGACTGGAACCATGGAGAGGATTTGGTTCCTGACACTCATTGATTGATTTCAGTGATGGTTTGAGGCTTCAATATCTTTGTGGTTTGGAGGCTGGGGCGCTTGGTAAGACTGGAGCCAAAAGTGTGAAAAAATAGCAGTTCTGTAATTTTCTGTAATTTCCTTTTCCTTTGGGTGAGTTCAGCTCAATCGCAAGATGGACTTTGTGTGAAGGAGAACTGAAGGCCACACCATGCTTTGTCTTTAGCCCCTTGGTGCTCAAATGCAGCTGATGATCTCCATTCAGCTCCCTGCAAAACAAGCATATTACCCCTCTGCCATGCTAAGCCATTACAAGCCTGAAACATATACCTGGATACCTTGCTGCTCCACTGTAATCAGGCAAGCGGTAAGCATGCAAAGAGTTGTAAACATGCTCAAAAACACTGCTTGGGATTGAGTCGATGGTCTACAGAAATGGACTGGCTATTGTAGTGCATGGATCTCTCTTCTCATCAGCAGCCCTGGGGCAGGAGGAACCATGGTGAGAGAGGACTCTGTTGAGATAATCATCATGTCCATAGGGATGGTGTTAGCACAAGGACATGAGTGGTGGGTGTGATGGAGCAGTGGGGCTCAGGTCTGCAGAGTCTGCCCAGCACTGTGATGGGCAGGTATGGGAGAGGATGGAGAGGAGCTGGAACGTTTCCTATTTATTTTATTGGCCTTCGTTCAAAACATCTGAGAAATGAAAGGACCCTGTTCTGCAACTGTACCCCTCTGGGCTATGGGACTTGTCCATTGAGTAATTTTGACTTCCAATTAAACTAAATATTGTTTTTAAGGAAATAGCTTTTTCCCCAGCTGGGGTGATAACACAGTCGTGATGTATGGATGAGGTTTCTCCTGAAGCAATTTGGGGTTTCATGTCATTTACTGAGAGTCAGGCTAGTTCCTCCTCCAAAATCATAATAAACAGGCAATGCATACCACATAGCTGCTCTTCTGAGCTCAAGAAACCTTCATTCAGGCACTCTTCTTCAACAACTCATCCATACACTACTGCTAGGTCAGTCGCCTTGCCTGCATCTCCTACATAATACTCTGATTCGTGTGGCCATGGGCATTCTGCAAAATGCAGAGCAAAGCCACCAAGATTCATGAGTTGGTGCTGCCATTTCTCCCTGTGATTATAGACTGTGAATTCCCCCTAGAATATGGGGAAATTGCTTTCTCTTATGGCACTAACATCCCATTCTAGCAACACTGAGACTGGCAAAAGGCAATGCTGAGTCAAACTGGTGCTGAAACACCAATGGCCCAGCAAGACACTTTTCTTCTTAATTTCAACCTGATAAAACCAGGTAGAGACCAGCAAACTGACCTGGCAGTGATTCGAGTAACCACTTCCAGCTTTGCTTAGTCAATACTCTAAGACAATTTTATAACCACATCAACATAAATTCCCTCCCTCCTCATCGTTTTGCTCCGAGAACACAAACGAGGCTTCTGGTAGAGTTTCATACTCATGATTTGTACAAATCATGTAAAGCTTATGAGTGTGTCAGCTGCCATTATGGTAAGCCCCTTTGCCTATCTGATTTTTCTGCATGCTGCTGATTTCCCTATATCCCTAATTCCAGACGTGAAACGCCAATTCAGCAAGCAAACCTCCTGCCTTTTAAATTAGAACAAGGAATGGAAAACCTCTGCATTAAAATTATAGGTATCTCCCTGGTATTACACAGGCATTAAGGGCTTAATCCAGTGAAGAAAGGTAGAGTCCAAAAGCCTGCTGTGCAAAACTGTGTGAGATGTCAAAGCAATTTGTACCAAAACCCCAGCACGGGTCCTGCTGGAGGATGCACAGTCCTTCCTCTAAAGGAGAATTAGTGGGAATCAGTTGTTTAAAGCTATGACCCTTTCGCTCAGCACATGCTACTGTCTTACTTGAACCATGTGAAGCTCCATCCATGCCCGTGGCTTTCAAACACAACATTTATTATCCTTCGCCCCCCAGATTAGGGGGAACCCATCCGATGGACAGACCAGAGCAAGGCACACACATGGCATCTGGTTTTCATGTTCAATCTCATCTTTTTTACTCCGCCGTGAGGGAAGGCTCAAGTGACAACAGAACAATGCTCGCCCTGCAGACTGACTAATTAGGCTGCATCTGGAGCTAATTAAATGTGGAGTCGCCCGCAAGGAGAGTACTCTCCTTATCATACCAGCAGCAGGGGCGAGACAGAAGAAAAATCACTGATGATATGCCTTGGTTTTTCTTGCAATCAATTTAAACGAGGCAGCAGGGATCAGGGTGGACAGGCACTTTTCCCTTAGCAGGAATGGGAGCAGGATTGATCCCAGGATGATGAAGCAAAATGGGGCTTTTTTTGGAAGGGGGAAAGGTGGGAGCAGAAGATATTTCAAACATCAGAACAAGTAAACGGGGTCGTGTTTGAACTGTTGCTTCTGTGCGTAATATATGGCTGTGGAGATACCTCTTCAGCATTAGTATCATTTAATATTCTAGTTTCTGATACACAGTAGCACATGTAATTAAAGCAAGCTGACCTTTACTGGGTGAAATATGCTCTGATTACTTTTTTTCAAATAACTGTAAAAAGGAATTTTTATTATTAAATGTTTTAATTTTAGTTTTGTTTGACCAAAATCTGGGAGAAATGTGGTTTACATTGCTTTATCAGCCACTAATTGGTATGAGGCTGCACATTTTTAATTGCTGGGCAGTTTTATTCTGTGACCTTAGGAAGTAAAAGAGCTCTTTCAAAGGACCAGGAAGTCCATATGGGTTTAAACATAAAGGAGCAGGGTTTATTTCTTATGGCTATGCTTTTCATTGTAACATATGAAATGGCAGTAAAGGGAGAGAAGTGCTCTGAACTTTAGAGATCAATTTCTTGTGGTTCAAAACCTTTAGCTCTTTTCTGGCCTTGAAACATTACATTTCCAGGATGGACAGTGGTTTAGTAACAGATTCTTATCACACAGGGATTTTTTGGCTTATTTTTTGTTTTGTTTTTCTGGTTTTGATGTTTTGTTTTTTTTTGTCTAGGAGTCACCATCAAGAGCCCATGCATGCCAGGAAGTGCCCAGGGGCACCTGGCTCCACACGTGGATCCATCCAGTGAGCCCCTGCTACACCTTGGGGCTTGCTGCTCTTACCCAGCCTGCCGTGTTTCAATCCATTCTGGTGAGATGGGCACCCAGGTTTCTGCCAGAAATCCCTCAAGATCTAGACCCATGGATGACTTTTTGTGCCTCTTCCGACTTCTCCTTCCCATGCTGGCAGTGTCTGTCTCTGAACATTACACCTACCACGCCGATGGAAAAGTCCCAAAGCCGGAGAAACTCCCTAAAATGAGAAATAAATTTATGTATTTTATTTAACATGTTATACACCAAACTTGTTTAATCTCATAGGGTTTTGTCCCACCATAAAGCCATAAATAAAGACCTGCAGAAGCCCTCTGCTCCCAGCCCACTGAGACCAAGCATGGGCACCAAAGCTGCTCCTGGGCTCTTGGCTTGTTCTCTATGTTCTTCCCTCCGTTTGCCCTTCCTTTCTTCATTACAATCCAGGCATTTCTTTCTCTTCCCTGCATTAAGTGTTATCCTCAGCACATCCTAGCCACCCACCCAGACCCTCACACTGATCTGGGGGCGTTTGGCAGGGGCAGGAGGTCACAGGCAACCAGAGGAGGCAGGAGATTGCCTTGGAAGTGAACAAAACATCTTCAGTCTATCAAAGTTTCCTAAAGGAATTTATTAGCCAGCCTGTGCTCTTGGCATCTGCAAGAGGTGGATGCAGAGAAAAAGGAAGGGTCTTTTATGACTGCAATGCAAGGCTGGGGTTGAGGGGTTAGGCTCAGCTGAGCATCCAGATGCTCTTGCTCAAGGAGAGCAGATGCTTGGTGCCTTTCACTGTTTGACTCAGGAATAAAACCAGGAGACTCCTTTCCCATGGGATTTCAAGCAGTTTGATGTCCAGCTCAACCCTGCAGTGGGGAAGGGAAAAATAGTAACTTGGATGCTTTGCATCCATGCAAAATTATCTGTTCTTTCCTGAATTTGAAGGTTTCAGAATGTCCCTTTTCTGTAACAGCAAAGGAGGGAAAGGGGAGAGGAGCGGGGACATCCAGAGCTGCTTTTCTAGTCCTTGGCCTTTGTCTTGAAACAGAGAATTGACATGTAGGATCAAAATGATGACTTGATTTGTGGTCTATGTGATTTAACAAAGAGCTTATGTGGATTGCTGTTGCATAAGGGGGGAGCAGAGGCTGGAGTTCAGACTCAGTGACTTTCTTTGTGATCCCAGACCCTGTCAGGCTCAAAATTTAAGGATTCTGGCAAAATTTGTCACATTAAACTACGGAATTTTGTCAACACAGGACTTGAGGATCGGATGGTTCAATTTTTAGGTGAATGGTGTGTGTGTGTGGCAGTGAAAGGTCATCTCAAGCTTATCTCTAAATAAACCCAGGAAACTCAAAATCAGCTCCTTTTTCTCCATCCCGTGCAGGCTGGCAAATGGGCAAACCAGTGTGGAGAGCTTTTATTTTTTCAATTTACAAATGTTCCCCACTGAAGCATGAATTCAAATATTAGCTTTCCACCTAGCAAGACCAGACAAGGAGCAGGGAAAAGGCACGTCTGTTTCTTATCCTTGATGCAGGGAAACTATTTAAATCTGCTAATTTTTTTATAGATTTCTCTTTTTTTTTCCAGCTCCACATAGGAGTGTTTACTTTATTGGGGGGGGGGGGGAAGACGACATTCAGGGGGCCGATGAATGCAGGCTTTAGTGAAACCCACCTCATTGTAATTTTCACAAACTCCATCAAAACATCCCTTTCTCTCTCTGTCTTTTCAAAAAGAGCCCTTTTTTTTTTTCTTCCCCTCCCTCCCCCGTGTTTCTGCATGTTGTGATTTCACTGAGGCTTCCAATGGTCTTCAACAGTTCATTTATGCCGGGAGCCTTCTATAAACTGTACAGCCATGGTCTCCTCGCCCGGCCACCCACCGAACCAGCCTGTCTAAACAGCATCTGTCTACATCCCAGACACATCGAGCGAGTTAAAAATGGATCGAGTCCAGCTTTTTTCTCCCCCTTACCCCCCTTTCTGCCCTCCTGTAAAGCCAGGGTGGGAGTCAAGAAGGGGGCAGTGTGTGCTGCCCTGGATCCGGTGGGGTTGGGGTTCTCCTCTTGCACCCCTGATGCTGCCTTCCCTCCTGGGTTTGTTTGGAGAGCCGTGCAAAGACCTCCATCCCTCAACGCCGGGGTTAGTCCTACCAAATCTCTCCATCGCTAGCAGATGCATTATTAGTGACGGGAGCCTATTT